AAACGCGAGTCTTGCACTGATAAGTGTTCAACTGGCGTGAACATGCACACTTTTCAGTGTTTGACAGGATATTTGAATACTTCGAAGTGCTCAACAGTAAATTTGAACACTTTAATGTGTATTAAGCTCCATAGCCAACCCTGGTGTTGAACACTTGCAAGTGTTCAACTGTTAAATACCGGGCCGCTCTGCCCCGTAGTTTTGAAAAGGTAGACTAGCCCGCTCAAAGACGGAGTGGGGAGGTGGGATGGGACGGGAGAGGTAGGTGCGGACGGGCTAGTCTAGTAGTATTCAAGTTCCCAGTCAAACACTTGAACGTGTGCAAAATAGTGTCCAGCACGTGCATGTGCAAGTTGAACACTTTATTTATCAGTGTAAAAATTCCAATTTGATGTTTCAACTTCTTTACAAATTGCGTCATTTCGGCGTCGGGTGGAAGTGTCGGTGGGGGGGGGGGAATACATCCCTGTAGGTTAGGCAACCTTTGCTTCGGGGAAAACTACTCATCATAGCCTTAAGGAGGTTGCAAGCCTTCAGGCGGGGCGCCTACTGCCAGGCCCGCGGCGTACGTGCCCGCGCGGGTGCACGGCGCGTACGCCCAATGTGCCGAATGGCGAGGGAATGGCTGCCATTATTACGGCTACACTTTGACGGAAAGCGAAGCGGGGGGAACCCCGGCCGGTATTGTCATACTGCACGACTTCACGTTGGGGGGAGGGGGGCAGGGCCACGACCACGACAAGAACACTGCGAGCCGCTTGCTTGCATCGCCAGCGCGGTCTTGACCATGGCGACCCTGAACCTCTGACTTTGACCCGCAGACCTCGGGTCGGCGTGGACGCTCAAGGCGCGGTCTGCGCGCGGCCAGATGCGCTCGCCCACCATGTCCGGGCTCGACGGCGACATGTGCGTCAGCGTGGAGGCGCTGGCACTGGGCAGCGCGCGCCTAACCGTCGCCGTGGAGAGCCTGACCGGCGCCGCGGCGCCCGTCGCGGTCGCCGAGATCCTCCCGCAGGAGCTGCAGGCGGTAAGTGTGGCTGTGACAAGCGATTTTAAAACCAGAATTTTTTTCAGAAAGAAAAATGAGAAAACAGAAGGATTTCCAGAAAAAATGGGGAAAATGGAAGGAAAGATTCAGGCGTTAAAAAATAAAAATCTTGAAAAATTTATCTTTTCTGGAAATTTAAAATCCCTAACTGTGGCGGCGTCAGTGTGACGGCATTGCCTATAGTGCCTTGAAAACGACCTACCGTGTCTGTGCAGAGGGGCGACTGGCAGCGCATCCAGAAGACGGTCTCGATCCCGGCGGCCATGCGCAACGGCCAGGTGCGTCTCGTCGTGTCCGGCGACCAGGTAGACGGAAGGGGCCTGGTGCTCGTCAAGAGCATCGAGTTCTGCAACCCGCACAGTAAGTCCTCCTCTCTCAAACCATGCAAATCGTTGGGTAATATTCAAACAACAAACGCGTTATCTGACCTGACCATACGTTTCTTCATTTTCGCCCAGCCTGCGGCGTGAGACGCAGGAACGTGCTGCCCCTCATCGCCTACGGCACCGCGGCCAGCGTGGGCGACTACCCCTGGTTCGCGGGCATCTACCGCAGCGACAACGGCATCGACGAGTGGCAGTCCATCTGCGGCGGCACGCTGGTGCGCACCGACGTCGTCATATCAGGTTCGACTGCTGGTCTCAATCTCAAGCCATCTTGGTCCAGTACAATAATTGGTGCGGGCGGCGCGGGCCGCGAGGGGGCGGGGGGCGGGCCTTGAACGGAGTGACGTCCGTTGGGCGGTTGGGTGACCCGCCCAGTCGCGTCCCATCCCGCCTATCCCGCCACACCGGTGTTTACATTGATAAATAAAGTGTTCAACTGGCGTGCACATGCAAGTGCTCAACACTATGTAACACAATTTTAAGTGTCTTACTTGATTTTTGAATAGTTTAAAGTGTTTGTTCAACGGTAAATTCAATCACTTTCAAGTGTCCAAACCAAAGGGGCCAGGGCCAACCCTACTACTACTGTACTCTACTGTTAAACACTTAAAAGTATTCAAATATCTAGTCATACATTTCAAATGTGCAACATAGCGTTGAACACTTGCATTTGCACGCCAGTTGAACACTTTATTTTTCAGTGTGTACCTGATCCTCATGCCTACCAACCAGTTATCACTTCCACACCCGCCCGCTGACCATTGACCTCCCTCTCTGCCCGCCGTTCTGTTGTGTGTAGCCGCCCACTGTTTCTACGACGAGAGCGCCGGCAGGCTCCGAGACTTTAGCCGGTTCCGAGTGACCGTCGGCAAGTACAAGCGCGACTGGGACCAGAGGGAGCCGAGCGAGCAGAGAAGCGAGGTGAGTGAAACAACGCGGTACGTATCGTGCTCCGATCCCGCGGGTGCCTCGTTTGGGTCAGTCTCAAGGAAATTTGAACACAACCAATATCTTTTCCAGCGGGGGGATATATTGGGGTGGGGGTGGGGGTATTTTCATTTACCGAAAATTTTCCCATCGATGTAATTCTCTCCCAAAATTTTGCTACATTTGTCGTAAAGAAATAACTAAAATTACTGTTCACGTGTTGTCTTGTGCGAACTGTGTACCCGTTTAAAAATGTTTTGCCCCGAGAAGTGGACGAAACTTGTCCGAAATCGCCCCGGAGGCCACGGGCAGTCCTGAAATATGTCCGAAGCGCTCCCGGTCTGTCCCGTTTTCTTTCCGCCACGTCTCTGGGCAGCCCCGTATTCAGCCCGGCATCGGGTTTGCGAAACCCGAAATTTGCCCGGCAGCCAGGTGCCACCTGGGCAAAACCGAAATCAGTCCGCCATCCCATTCGGTCTAGTTTCGGGGTTGCCCGACAATCGCGAAGGCCGTTTGTTTTGAGGCTGACTCACTACAAGGAAAACCGAAAACAGTCCGAGTGTTGCTGGGAGTAGCTGAAGGGGCCAGCACGCGGCTGCGAATGACCCGGGGATCCGAGACCGGCACTCGTATCGCGTCCCAGTGGTCGAGTGGTGAACGTGATGAGGTCGCAGCACAAAGGTCCAGGGTTCAACTCACCGTCCGGTAACGTATTCCTTCACTACTTCAAGACTACTATGCAGTACGGTAGAGGCAGGAGAGGGAGAAAGAGAGAAAGGGATAGGGCCTAAAATACTGAGAAATCTAAAAAGCCCCCTGAAATGATTTTCTTTTTTAATATCCGCAATAAACTTTTCATGGGCTCTCTTGTGGGAGCTGGCTAGCTTATT